ACTTGCATCTAAGTCTAGAATGCCAAAGCTCTCATTAATATGTAGGCCCGTTACACAGCCTGCTTCCACCCAAATGATGATGAGCTAAGTTTTATCTACATCCTTCAGTTGCATGCCACCACCCCATAGCCCCGCAAAAAGCAGACAACCCTTTCAGACAGCGTCCTTACCTCTGTCTCAGGGCATTTGTTGAAAAGCCTGGGGTTACATTCTGTTGGATTTTGAAATTCTGTCATACCAGCCCAGTACACAAGGAAAACTGATTTGTTTGCAAGTACCCACAAACAGACACCCTGACAAACTGACTCATCTTCCAGTGCATCTAAACGTAGCTGGGAACTAGAAGTTAACATCTAACAAAGTACCAACCCCCCCAGCAATATGCTTAGTTAGATGAAACTGTCACATGACATTGCTTCCACACTTTCAGCTTCCCAAAATATTCTGTAATTGATCTTATGTCATGGGCTCTGGATTACCACCCTCACCACAGTTTCAGTTTAAAGATATAGAAAACCTATCTGAGACATACACCATCAAATACAACGACAGATTGCATTTCATCAAGAACGTATGTTAATATATCATCTCAGGCATACTACACCATCTGCGTTCTGTACTCTCGGTCCATTTCTCCATCCACATTCCCCTCTTTCTATGTATATACTTTATTTATTCAAAAGTAAAGCGTCTTAGGTTTGCAAATGGGTTTGTTACAGAAGAAAAGAGGGCCTGGTGGACTTTTTGAATGATTATGCCTTTATTCACAGTGGGGGAAAATAATGGAAAATAACATCATGGAGCAGGTGAAAAGACTATCACACTCAGGCTCCAATGATTTTAAGCATCTCAGAGGATGCAGAGTTAAAGAAAGTAAGAGAAAAATCCAACAAAAAAAATCACCTGGATCAAATGGTTTTTACCCACTTGAGCTCAAAGAAATGAGGAAAGTTATTCGTAAGTCACCCTCTAGGATATTTCAAATGCTCTTAGGGCAGAAAATGTACTTGTTGATTAGAAAAACTCCAATGTAATACCCATTGTTAACAAAAGGGAACCAAACTGAGCTAGAAAATTATAAACCAGTCAACCTAACTTTGATTACATCTAACAGTATGGAAAAAAATAAGAACTGAATGAAAGAAGTACAACTGAATGGAAACTGACAGCCTCATTGCTGGTCCACAAGAATTCATTCAAAAACGCCTTTTAAGGTGAAAATAACTGACAGTGTTTCTACACTTAATGAATGCGGTACAGCACAATTTCTCAAAATTGCACTCAGCAAGCAACTTTACATTTTTACTCCATTGACTCCACTCTGGAATTGTGTGCATGTAAAAAAAAACAAGAATCTCCAACAATTATGGACTGACAGGTTTTGTACAGATGGGCATAGTTTCTTCATGTTCTACAATCTGGTAAAACAACCACCATGTTCACAGGGAAAAGTCACGTGTGAACTAATTCTTTCTTTTTCTCATATCCATTGTGAAGCAAAGATTTCTGTCTGGCCAGTTTTGGCAGAGTAAGGATCTCTTTCCAAACTGTTGGTCATTCCTTAGTAGTTGATGCCTATTATTAATATTATTTAATTATTACTACTTATTATCATACACCATACCACACTACACACGTATGCATTGTTCAGTACTGCGTTCACCTTCAGGACTTTGTTGATCTCCTTAAAATGGTTAATGTTAGGATACTAATACTGCTATAAATGCTTTTTTTTAAATAGATTTGCTTCAACAGCTAGATATTCTTGTAAAAAATGCAAGTGTCAGTACTGTATTTATAGTTCTGTATTATTTGGCTTACAACACAGTGCACAGAAAGTTTATATACAGTACTGCGGTGCTTAATGATTTAGAATATTTCTGTAAATGGAACTAGTTGTAAAATACTGAGCAAAAGCTTAGAACTTTCCAGTCCTGCATGAAGGTCATTCAGGCTACTGGCATTCCTGATGTTGTTGATATTAAACAGGACGATTTTCTAACTGTTTCAACATTTTGTACGGAAAAAACTGTGAGCAATTTCAATTCATGTTTGGTATTTCCATGTTGGTGTCATAGTTAACCTGTCAAATGAGCAGCTATAGAATACGAAATCAGGAGAATATATTGGCAAAAACTTAAAAGGAACAACTGGTTTACAACAGTTCAGGAAGACAGCCAGCCCGTGCCTGGAATTACAAGGTGGAGATTATTTAGAAATTTGAAGAAATAATCATCAATAATTTAGAAGAAGCATATCTTGCCTAAATAAGCTATTTGATTTCTTCAACAAAACTAGCACAGTGAATATAACATCATAATGTTTACTTTCAAAAACCTTGCGATAAAGTACAATGTGAAATACCTATCTACCATAAGGCTGCAGGAATTGGGAATAATGATTACACATGGACATAAATAGTTAAGTTAAGAACTGAAAACAAAAAGTACTGTAAAGAGAAGGTACTGTACTTCTATCTGGAGTGAGGCAGCACAAGGATCAGTTCTTGGACAGATACTCCTCCTAATCTGTACCCATAATCTAGACTCTGGTACAGTGAGTAAATCTGCCCATTTCACAGATAATACAAAAACAGAACAACACGGAGCTTGATTAGATTGTAAATGGTTTAGATTTTAAATCAAGGGAAGTTGTATTAAAATTGTACAATGAATTGATTAGGCCTCAATTGGATAAGTGTGTCCAGTTTTGGTCATAACACTACAAGAAAGATATTGCTCTCTACAGAAACCAGTTTTTTTCCGGATCTGAAGGGAATTTCAGACAGAGAAAAAGGGATAGTCTTTTCACTCTAAAGCATAAGAAATTGCATGGGGACTTGATTCCAGTTTTCAAAATCCTGGAACACATAGACCAAGTCAACTCAGGGGACCCTGTTCAGATTAGCAGTAACACAAGCACCCAGGCAGACAAGTGAAAATTGAATTTAAGGAGATTTAAAACCAAAAACAGGAGATACTTCTTAATGCAGACAGCTGAGGGAGTCTGGAACTGACTTCCAGGATGTAGCTGAAACTAAGAGAAATCTCAGATCTTTAAGTTACTAGGAAGCAAACAAGCAAGGCAGGCAGAATGCCCCTACATCATCTGTAACCTTTCTTTGCTCTTTTGTTCATTGGTAATACTAAATTGAATGCAAATTATTTTATTTGTCATAGTATATTGTGATTTATTTCTAACTAATAAAAGGATACCCACTGTTATTTACATATGTATTTTCATGTTTTTTACGCTTCATTTAAAAAGAACTAATCAGTGTGCTTCAGAAACTTCTGAACTAAGCAGACTTCTCTATTCTCTACGTACACTTTATTTGACTTGGAAAAGATTAATGAACCAGAGCTTAACCAGCATGTTGATTTTGAACGGAACTACTTTTCTCTAGCTGATGATAATTATTTTACCTTGTAAAAAATCAGAAAACAGCTCATGTTCAAAGTTTTGTTACAATAATTTAAAAAGGGATTCAGCTGTAGGGATACCCTCTAATACCTCTGAAACTTTCTATCACTTAGAAAGTGCTAGAAACCCAAAATGCAGAGATAATATCTTATTAATGCATCTGAATAAGAAAAAACACATTGTGTGTCGCTTTAAAAATGTATTTTTCCTGCCTTTAATGGCAGAAAACATATAGAGGCATCAGATAGGAAGGCTTAATGAAGTTACAAACATTTAAGAAATATTTTCCACAAACAATAGAGTAACTCCATTTGAAAAGTTTACAGAAAACAAATAAGTTTCCTATGTTCCTCTACAGATCAGGCTGTTGTTCTCCCTGTTGCCAGGGGTAATGTAACTAACTACTCATGTGTCTCTCTGCGACAGACAGGAACAATCCTGGATGCGAAGACAAAAATATACTTCCAAAATGTATCTGGATAAAGAATGATATTTTCTTTTTCAGTTCCAGGACAGTAATATTGGTTTACTAGAATGCATTTGGCAGCAGAAACACATCTGGAACTGGAACTGCAAATGCAATGCACATTTGTATGTTTTTTGCATTGATAGCCTAGAATCATATCTACTGGTGTAAAACTGCAATAGTAATGGCTTCCAATTTAAATATTTACAAAAAACATGAACAGTGCTTTTGGCTATTACATGTTTGGCATAAAAGGTTTAATTATCCAGTGAAGAAAATCATGCTTTTTTTCTCATCTTTGTATCTTTTTCTCATCTAGTGAGAAAACCATGCAGTTCAGCCCCATGAAGTTGATCAATCCAGCCTGTTGTAGCTGTTAGAATCTGTTTACAGGGCAGTTTGCCTTGACAATATCAAATACTGTTTACCTCCCAGCTTCCATTTTACTAACATACTTCAAGACCTTTGTTTACGATATATAAAATAGTTCAAAATGTACTGCTTTGTAGCACAGGCATATCAATCAGCCTGAAAAACTGCAATATGTGCTGGTGTGTATATACATGTACAGGGTTGTGCAAAAAAACAACAAAAAACCCTTTTTGCCTTGATTCATTCTACCACAAAATTAATGTATTGATCGTGGAAGAAAATCAATGGGCTGCCCCCACACACTTCCCAAGCAATGAATTAGCAGTTCCATAGGAACTATAAACTTCAATCATGCGTCTTTATTTAAAGACATTTTAAAAGTAGTTAGAAAAGCAACCAGAAAACGACATAAACTCGATTGTGTCATTGCGGTGAGTATGCGAAATAGTGTGAAGAACAGGCACAATCTTTTCGCAATGATTCAAACAGAGTGTCGGCAGCTGTCACTGAGCTCCTCCACGCTAAGGGAACGGCGCCTAAGCCAGAGCACACTCCAGCAGCGCAACAGTTAATTTTCACACATGCAGGGGGGGAAAAAAAGAGAAAACAAAAGTTTAGGCACAAGTTTACTCCTCGGTGTGACAGTGTTTTTTTTTTTTTCCCCCACTGCTCATCGAGTACCAAAACAAAACAGGCATTCAGTGAGGAAGAAGAGAAGGAACTCGACGTCTTGTTTTACCTTCTGGTCGACGATGGAGCATGCCATTTCCCTGACGTGCGACAGGGTGAAGTCGCCGGAGTCCAGCAGGACCGATTCGCGGCTCAGCCCGATCTGAATTTGGAAAGAGATGCCTGGCGACCCCGGGAGAGGGCTCGGCGGCCGAATCACCGGAGGCACACTCATGAGAATCAACCCGATGTCCGACAGGATAAAAACTAGAAACTGGGAAACTTAAAAAAAAAAAAATTAAATGTCAAAACTTTTCAAATGTTTGCTCGCCTTTTGTTTTGTTGTTGTTGTTGTTGTTGTTGTTCTTGTTCTTGTTTTTTCCCCCCACACACCACACAGACACACAAAAAAATAGGGGTACTACAACAGTGATGATAAACTTTCAATCCTCTCCCTATCCGGGGAGGAAAATGGCGAGGAAAACGCGACAGAGGATGCAGTCGGGGAAGCGGTGAGAGGTACTGAAAAGCGGTCAGTTGTTTGAAGAGTGAAAGGCGAAGATGAAGCCGCTAGTCGGCAGATCTGTTGAAATGTTCAGATCTGATCAGAGCCCGCCTCCTCACTATTGCCCCGTGCTAATGAACCGTGGGTTATGTTTGTAGTCACTACAGCCACGAATATTCGGGTGGGTTTCAAGCGCCGCTTCTTCACACATCACTGCTGTCACTCCAGTTTCGGTCAGTGCGCGTTGTTTCACTCCCTGCGCTACAGGGATAATTACAAGTTTTATACTGTATATCCACCGGGGCACAACCTACTATACTGAAGGTGGGGGGAAAGAAAGTTCATCAGTGTTTAATTTTTTTTATGCCCGAGAAGACGGTTTTCCTGGGGAAATTAAGTCATAACGCTCCTTTTTTTACGTTTAAATAGACGTATTTTTTATGTATTTGTTTGTTTTAAATAAACAATTTAAAAGTTTACAAATTAAACGTGTTCTCATGAAGGGATAGCTGCATTTAGGAGTATTTTTTGAGTCTGGAATACTCCTTAGAATGTACAAGATAGTGTAAAACAATAAGCTGAAAAGATGCCATTTAACCGTTAAGATTTGCACCATAGAGATTTCGTTGTTCAACAAGACAGAAAACAGTAGATACAGAACATTGCGTTGAAAGCATTAAGTGTGGATACAACTGATTAAACCTTATGTCTATCAGAGGAAATCGTTCTTTCTCACCTGTCGCAAATACTGTATAACAACCCGATATTTACGAAGCTAATGAAACGGGCTGTGTTCTTAGAAAATACGTCATTCAGGAGTCACGATTTTAGTTCTGTATTGTATTTTCAGTGAAGGCGAAGAAAAATAACAATCCGATATTCCGCGTTAAAGCCAGTTTTGTATCAGATTGAAATCATTTCGACACAAAGTGAAAGTAAACAGTGTTGTTCCATAATACAGTGATAGATATGGGTCCTGGTAGTCCTGCAATTGACCTTAGGGAAACAATCATTAACATTTCCTTACTTTTATGATTAGATTATTTATATTAGCCAAAGTATCTCTTCCCATATTCCAGAAACATCAGCGTGTGACCCTATAATGCTTCAAGATTGGTCTTAAAAGTCCCCCCCCCCCCAACCTCCTATAAATACGTTCAATATGCTGTAGGTGCTTTCTGTAGTGTTATTATTTAATTGGAGTCCACTTGTACATCTTTGTTGGAGGAACACGTCGAAATTATTTTTTTATGGGAAGTACTTATTTGCAAGAACCTGATTACCATTTTAAACGTTTCAATAAGAATTACAAAACCTTTTCTGAAGAAAATAAACAACAAAGAGAGTATTTGAATACGAAATTATTTGTTCTTGATTAGCTTAGCTTAATTTCGCACGTTTAAATGCTGCGGCTTCTCCATTATCTTTGTTATTAGTACAATTGCATAACCACTTTGATCGCGAGTTTTAATTGATGAACAGCTTTCATTTGATAAATTATTACCAAGGGAGTAAATCATTAAGCACAAGCAACACGTCGGTTTCATGTTTGTTTGCCTGTTTGTTTTTTGTTTGTTTGTTTGTTTGTTTGTTTCACCGTCTGAGCAGAAAAATAATCCCAGTAAAACTCGGAAAATTGCTAATAATTGGAGTAGCTTGCATCTCATGAGTATGCATGAGTACAATTGATCGTGTCTCCTAAATCTGAAATACTGAGTTTCAAAGTATCTCCTAACCGAAAAATATAAATATTATAGCGCGCTCTTTGCTGGTTCGTTTTCCTGAAAACACAAATTATGTTAGTTTTACTCGTGTTTACTCTGTATTTACAATACGTTTATACTGTTTGTTACAATGAATTATGTACTTTTACTCTTTAGTGTACACAATATATACTGTATATTAACGCACGTTTATAAAGAATCCTTTGTGTTGTCTAGGATAGTGTCAAAATTTAATTTGTGAAATAACACAACTGGGACCACAGTTCAGAAACCTTTGCTTCTTACTGTAGTAGATGAAGAATTGCAGCACTGATTGGAGTGGTGTGCTCTACTTCCATACCCCTGTCCTTACCCTGAGTTTGTCTCTGTGAAAAAACAACAGCAAGCCCATATCAGAAACAACATCTTCCCTGGTAATTTCAGATTCTTGATTTCAACTGTCATTCCCATCTCTTAAAGCTGTTATCGAAAGCGCTGTATGTTTGTAAAGAGTGGCAAGTGTCAGATGAACACCACCTTAATTATACTGCAACTCTCCAGTTTTCCCACTGGCCTTCAGGCACTTACAGGACAGTATGTCATGACTCTTTGTTTTAATGTGACATCCCACTGCCTTTACCCCTCTGGAGTTTTTAATATTCCATCACAATGATCTGAACTGAGATAAAAGGGCAGTTCAAGATCTGCAGGTCCATCATAACCCCACAGACAGTAACCATGTGGAGGATGTTGGGGTTGTCGGTGGCCTAACGTTTTAGATAGCCGGTTCACGGCTTTATGTGTATTCAGACACCCATGTCAGTGTGGCATAATTTCAAAACATTTTCTCGTATTGTTCGAAATGTAGGCCTGACCCATGTGCCAACTTTTTTTCTTCACTGTTAATAAGCCATTGTCGAAAGCTGTAGAGTGCTAAAGACCACATGTATAACACAGTTTATATTTTAAAGGGAATTCCCCCTTGATTTTTCATTTGTGTGCGTGTGTGTTTTTGAAAGGTAGGCTTTGGGGTTGCTTCTGCGTGTGTTTTGCTTTCCCAAAATACATCTAGAAACACCGGTCCTAGTAAAGATACATGCTGCTTGTACTCCATGAACAGATGTAGTCATTAATAGTTTCACTCCCAGAAAATATCCTCGAAGTGCTGCCACAGGGAAAATCTGACAAGCCAGTTCATTCTGTTCTTGTTAGCGCTTTCTCACAGAAAAGCTCCTGAAAGGCAGGATGAATGGTGCACGCATCTTTTCACTCTGACGAGATTGAAATGGGGGGCTTGGTGAAATGTCTAAAAAGAAAATGCTGTTTAATTGCTAGGATACCATTCTGCCATCCTTAAGTAGGCCAAAGACATGGATAGCAAATTACTTGGGTTATTGTGTGCAGGGCCCCTACAATAGCAGGAGAGAGTGTACTATTACAAATCTTTTCAATTCGTTTAGCAGCTTTTATTTGGTGTGTGCGTGTGTGTGTGTGCGCGCGCACAGGCGACGTTTCCTGCCTCCTATGCTTCCAGATGAACTGCTCAATAAATGCAGACATATCACCCAGCCAAAAGGAAATGAAGCAGAAAAACAGCATTACAGAGCTGCAGGGCAACTCTTACAAATAACAATCCTTGGATGTAACCATAAGCGATGGTCTCTTATTCAAACTCCTTAGCCATTCAGGTCCCTGTCCGCCTACACACTCTCTGTATGACCTTGTCAGACACAAACCTCGGCAGCACAGTACTACTGTGACCGAGTCATTTAACTTATGCTAATTGTATGAGCTGGCAAAATAAACTAACTTAAGTTTTTCAGTTGTTTTTTTTTTTTAATAGACCTGAGAATCTATTCAATAAATTCATAGAGGAACACCACAAGATTCCCAGTTTCATCAAAAAATTACCCTGCGGTGATTAAGACAAATACTGTTTATCCCTAGGAATTACACTTCGGCACTGAAAACCTTCTGATTAAATAATGAATTACTGTGCTAGGCCCAGTTAAATTTCCACTAGGAGAGCCTCCTGAGATGAGCTATTCTGTAACAGCAATGCAAGTATAGCTTTTTCTCTTGATTACAGTCATCATCTGAAGGACAACCCCTGAGACCCATTATATTTGAATTTCTGTATATACAGTGTACATACAAACTCACACCATTGAAGAGAAGGATTTTTGACGTATCTAATTAAAAGGTTTAGAAAATGCAACCAACCAGGTTCATTACTTCATGGTCATGAGATTTATATTTTTTGTTATTTATTTAGCATTTTATTTCATCCTTTTACTTTGTTAATATCCACCATTCTAGAGGAGCACTTTCTTTAGCCCCACCTCTCCCAGGGTAAAGCTCAAGACAGGCTGAGCTCTGTGATCCAGGTGAGAGAGAGCCTGGTGACATCACCAGGTGGCTGTAATGCCAGCCTCATTGGGACTCCTCAAACAGCGGCACACCATCTTCTGAGTGCTGCCGAGAACCAGCTGGTACTTCTCGACCAGTGTCACAGCAACCCTCGTGGCTTGCAGGCTGGCAGTGCCTTGGGCGTGGGATGTGCCTTTCCAATCAGTTCTCAGCCTGCTGTGCTCCCTGTGATGTGGTTCTCAATGAGCGGCTCGAAGGTGGGCAGGATGGAGGAGTCTGTCCACTACAGCACCTCCTCAGTCTTTCCCGTGTGCGGTGGCAGCGTTCGTAGCTGTAAAAAAACCCACATTCTTTATTATCGATTGTCTAGAGGTTGTGTGTGTCTTGATTAGAAATAAATCTCTGATGTGCATGGCTTCTGGTGGACCAGCCTACCATCCAAGCCAGTAGTACTGTAGCAGGCCTGCCAGTACATTCAGTACCGGCCAGGGACGTACCTGTATTCAATGGTGGATGAAGTGAGGCCACACCTCTATATAAAGCAATTTTGGGATCAAGGGGATGAAAACCCGTTTAGAAATACAATTAATTATTTAATCAATTGGATAATGTTTTTGTATAATAATAATTACCTTCCTGACCACTTGACCCATTTTGCAGAGGGAGCTGTAACTGGTTTCCTCATTAGACATGCTTATGAGTCTGGTGATCGGATTCAAGTTTCGAGGGCAGGGGGAGTGTTAAAAACAGTTTGAAACATCACCAGAAAAACTAAAAGAGTATAAAACCTAAAAGTAAAAATATCTATAATGGAAGCAGATATTCAGTCAAATGTGGTACTATACTGTATGTTTGTACTGTATATGATCCAAAGCATTGACACTTTTAAAGTGGTGTAATACAGAATAATATGTCTTGCAGTTTATTTATGTGATGCCTTAAATGATCAATTGGTGCAATAGTGTAAAATATATATATATATTTTAAAATACAAAACCCCTGAAATCAGATGGAAATGGGGAATTGTTGAAAAACATATCCATCGTCTCTTTTCATTTCCAATTCCAGCTCAGCATTTTCACAGTTCAAATGTCAAGTCAAAATGTGAAAATTATTCACCTCTGCCATGTGCCTACGTGACACTTTGCATGCAGCTTACACTTTACAGAGTAA